ATAACAAACGCTATAATTCACAACGAACTTCTCACGTGCTCAACAATATTCTTACTCATTACCTTCCTCGCCTCAGTTCTTACTGGTTTATATATACAAGACTACACTATACTTAGAAGGATCCTGAGATTTAAGGAAGGGACGTGAATGTTCGAGAATAACGTGGCGTGATACTAGTCACGTGACCTCCGCTGCGGTACACTGCCCATACTTAGTATTGTTCGTCCAGACCAATAGCCACTTACATTATACCAATAACTATTAAAAAAACCTTAATTAAATGTACAGAATTACAAACAAAAAATAACAATTCAACAAAGTCTCTTAATTTTACGGGACTGATCTTCTTCCGAACTGGTCTCCGTCTCGTTGGCTTCTGCTTCACGTGGGGTTCATCTGCTTCATCAGGAAATGTCCTATCGTCGATAACAGTCATATCAGTGGTAGTAACTTCATCAAGAGCTTCACTGTTTCCCTTCTCAAAACTGAGTAGAGTTTCTTCTTCGACGGTGGCTTTTTCAGGTGACACTTCTTCAGCAGCGTCATTTGTTCCTTTCTTCACTTCGTCCCAACTGAAATGTCCTGGACCGATGATAACGACAAAGCCTGTTGGCATGCACCACTTTTGGCTTACCTCGCCGACCACATTTGATTCGGAAAGTCACGTCTGAGAGACGATCCACTATGTCATATGGGCCTTCCCATGGAGAAGACAACTTAGGACACTTCGCTTTGGTCTTCCTGAGATAATACAACCACACCTTGTCTCCTGGTTCAAAGTTGATGTCAGTAGATCTCTTATCATAAGTTAACTTCATCGAATCAGCAGACGTTTTCAAGTTTGAATGTACTTGATGGTGAATATCACCCATCCTTTCCGATAACACTTTCACAAACTCTGACACATTCTCAGGCAATTCTTCATAAGGTGGGCGTCCTGTTAACTGATCCACTGGCAACCGAAGTTCTCGACCAAACATCAACTTTGCTGGAGTGTATCCAGTTGTTTCGTGCTCTGCTGTCCTATAGGCCATCAACAGTGGAGGGAGTAAGACATCCCAGTCATCTTGGCGGCTATTACAAAACCTTGACAATTCCTGTACCAGTGTCCAGTTGTACTTTTCTACCATCCCATCAGACTGTGGGTGAAGTGGTGTTGTCCTGGTCTTTCGTATGCCAAACAACTTGCAGCATTTTTGGAACACAGCTGATTCAAAGTTATAGCCTTGATCTGAATGCAGTTAGTGTGGAATACCAAACCTGAAGAAGAAATCACTAATAGCCGAAGCTACAGTTGTAGCTTCCTGATTTGGTATTGTATATTGTAATCCATCACCACACAAATGTACTTGTTTCCAGCACGAGTTTGGGGCAGAGGACCAGCAATGTCGACGGCTACTCTTTCCATTGGTGCACCAACTTGATATAACTTCGTTGGAGCACGTCTCTTATGCTTGGGTCCCCTTTTAGCACAACATGTACTGCATGTTCTGCACCATTCTTCCACATCTTGTCTCATACCTATCCAGTAAAATCTCTGTCGTAGGTGACTCAATGTCTTCTTAATTCCG